TCTCCTCAAGATCCTGCTTTCAGTTCTTTTGGTTATTTACCCTGAAATAGAATTGCTGAATTCAGTCTTTAATTTTTTGAGGAACTGCCATTCTGTTTCCCACAGTGGCTGTACCAGTTTACATTCCCATTGATAGTGCACAAGTTTTTCTATATCTTTGCCAATGCTTGTTATTTTGTTTTTTGATAATAGCCATTCCTAATGAAAATGAAATGGTATCTCATTGTGGTTTTGATTTACATTTCTCTAGTGATCATTGATGTTAAGGATATTTTCATGTGCTTATAGACTGTTTGTACATCTTTAGAAAAATGTCTTTTTAAGTCATTTGACCATTTTTGAATTGAGTTTTGTTGTTGTTATAGATGAAGTTTTAGAAGTTCTCTATATATTTTCGATATTCATTTCTTACCAGATACATAATTTGTAAATATTTTCTCCCATTCTGTGGTTACCTTTTTATTCTGTAGATAATTTCTTTTTCTTCTTTTTTTTTTTTTTAACTCTAGCACACGCATGCACTCACACAAGAGAGAGAACACATGTGAAAGCACCTTCGATAGGGTCTTTCTTGTCATACTGTGATCCTCTTTCCTCAGCCCTTCAGGATCTTAGGTTCCCAGTGTATTTTTTAGTCTGACCAGGGATCTGAACCAGTTACTATATGGCTTCCAACACTGCAGGGTGCTGGCATAACTGTTGTACTATAGTAGTGGGGCTTTATTTATTTATTTATTTATTTATTTATTTATTTATTTATTTATTTATTTTTAAGAATAGAGTTTCTTTGTGATGTTCTTCCACCCTAGCTTTCCAGCTGGGACTACAGGTGTGTATTTCTATGCCTGGCTCTTTTTCAGACACAATCTCATTTTGTTGACCAGGCCAGCCTTGAACTTGTGATTCAACTGTTTCAGTCTCCCAAAGTTGCTGGGATTACATGTATATGCCACCATGCCTGGCCTTTAGGTAGGACTAGGAATTGAACCTGGGCCTCACATGTACTCCTAGTCTATGGAATATAGCATCTTAGAAACATGTGTCATCATGGTGTGGCCTGATACTGTCTTCTCATGCAAAAACTTAAAAATGTTCATGAAGTCCAGTTGTCTGTCTCTTTTGTTGCCTGTGCCTTTTAGGCCATGTCCAAGAAATTTTTCCCAAATCCAGTATTATAAAGCTTTTACCGAATATTTTCCCCCAGAGTTGTATAGTTTTAGGTCTTATATTTAAGTCTGTGATTCATTTTGAGTTATTTTTTGTATAGTATGTAAGGTAAAGGTTCAGCTTTATTCTTTTTTATTTGTTTAATTTGCTAGAGGGCATGTGCACTCACTGGAGAGAAACTGGGGGGAAGGAGGAGTGAGTGTGTATAGTGAGAAAGCACTTCCCATGGGAGATGGTCATGCTGCAGTTTCTTCTCCATTTCTCCTTTCAGGATTTTGGGCATGTAGGCACATGCACCTGTAATGTTTTTATTTTATTTTATTTTTTGAGAGAGATTTTTGCTATAGGGCGCATACATGCTCACTGGAGAGACAGAGAGACAAAAAGCAATAAATCACTTCCCGGGGGTATGGCGGGGCTGCAATCCCTTCTCCTCTATGATCCTCTTGGGATTTTGGGCATGCATGTACACGTGCCCAGCATGAGTTTTAAGCACTAGGTCCAGTTTTAAGCACTATTGGTCCCCTATGTGGGAGTCCAGTCATGTAATCATGATGCCATCTGCTGATCCCTACACTTGGAGTGTTTTACAAGCTGCCAAATCTGGGACTCAAACTGCACATTTGCCATGTGGATACAGGTGCTTTAACCACTGTACCACATGCTGGCCCTCAACTTTATTCTTTGGCACATAGTTATCCAGTTTTCCCAACACCATTTGTTGAAGAGACTGTTTTCTCTCTATTTAATGTTCTTATTACTCTTGTTGAAAATCATTTGACCATACATGTAAATGTTATTTCTGGCTTTCTGTTCTGTTTTAGCTTCCAGCATCACACAGTAGTACTTCCACCACCTAGTCCATTATAGCTGGACCTAAACATTTTAATTTTTTTTTTTTTTTGGATTCTATTGTAAGTGGAATTGTTTATATATTTTCCTTTTCAGGTTACTTGTTAGTATATAGAATGCAGCACTTATGTATGTTGACTTTGTATCCTACTACTTTTACTTTGTTGAATTCATTTATTTTAACAGTTTATTTTATTTTCAGTTGTAATCCTATTTTTTTATGAACAGAAATAATATTATTTCTCCCTTTCCAATTTGTGTGTCTTTTCTTTTCTTCTTGTTTTTTTTTGTTTGTTTGTTTTTGCATAATTACTCTGGCTAGCACTTTCAGTACTATGTTGAAAAGAAGTGATGAAAATGGCCTCTTTTGCTTTGCTCCTGATTTTAGAGGAACAGCTTTCAGTCTTTTACCATTCATTGAGTATGATGTTCATTTTGTGTATGTATGTGTTTATATATGGCTTTTATTATGTTAAGATAGTGTTCTAGTCAGTTCTCTTTCTTTCTTTTCTTTTTTTTTTTTGGAGAGGTTTTTGCGATAGGGCCTGTGCACTTGCCAGAAAGAGAGAGACAGAGAGAGAGAAAGCGAGAAATCACCCCCCCCGGCGGGGGTGACCATGCTGTAGTCCCTTCTCTTCCATCCTCCTCTCGGGATCTTGGGCACACACACACAAACTGCCTGGCGTGAATTTAAGCTGCCGGGTCTAGGACTCGAACCGCAGTTGACTACATAGGAGTCCAGTGACATAGCCATTGCGCCATCTGCTGGTCCCTCTAATCAGTTCTTTTGCTAATAATAGAATTACCTGAGAGTGGGCAAATTTTGTAAAAGTAGAGGTTTATTCAGCTCATTTGGAGGTCGAAGGTAGCATCTGGTGGGGGTCTTCTTACTGGTGGATAATGTCCTAGAGGCCAGGAACTAGAGCAGAGCAGAGTGTTCATGTGTCTCTGTTCTAGTCTCATTTCTTCTTTTTATACACTCATCTGTATTCAGGTGGGGGGAGGGCTCTACCTGATAACCTTATCCAATTATAGTCACATCTCAAAGACTCTGCTTCTATTTTTTGGAGAGGTTTTTGCGTGCGCTCGCCAGCCAGACAGAGACGGAGGGACAGAAAGTGAGAAATCCGCCCCCCCATGGGGGATGGCCACACCGCAATCCCTTCTCCTCCAGTCTGCTCTCAGGATCTTGGGCACACATGCACATGCGCCTGGTGTGAGCTTAAGCCACTGGGTCCAGTACTCAAACCACAGTCGACTACATGGGAGTACAGCGACATAGCTGTTATGCTAACTGCTGGGTCCCAAAGGCTCTGGCTCTTAATCCCACACTCAGATTAAATTTCTGTCACATTAATACCTTCACAGTGTCTCACCAAATTTTACCATTAATTTTGGGGGACACATTCAAACCATAACAGCTAGTTTTCTTCTATTCTTAGCTTATTGTGTACTTTTGTTATGAAAGAGTATTAAATTTAGTCAAAAGAAACTTTTTTTCCTGTTATCACTTGAAAATGAAGGAAAACAAACCACACCATCATTCCAGTAATAAATTCTAGTTGGTTATGATATATTAGCTTTGTAATATCTTGCTGAACTGGCTGTGCTAGTATTTTATTGAGGACTTTTGCATATGTGCTCATAAGGAACATTAGTCTGTAGTTTTCTTGTAAAAAATATCCTTGTTAATTCTCACTGATATTATCATATGTTACTTTATTTTCTATCAAATTATTATCAGAGCCTATGGCTCAGTACTGGCACAGCTAGACCCACATAGGAAAGGTTCTGGACTTACATATCAGGGCTCCTTGAACTTGATAGGTCTGTGCATCTGAGCCTGCTGAGGCTGGGGGTGGATTGTGGTGTCTCATTCTGTCTCTGTCTTCCTCTCCCATGAAAAAAATGAAATAAACTTTAAAGAATTGTCATCAAATTATTCCTTCTCCTGTAAGCTCCATGAGTAGCTATCTTTTATGGCTTGATGGTGTCTCCATTACATAGGCATGATTTATAAAGTTGTTGTACATTAGGAATTAACTCAGTTTCTAATCCCTCTTCCCTCCCCAGAGGTGAGGGTGGAGGGTTGAAATTTTCAATCATTTAATCACATGATTAACTGGCTTGAGGCTATGTAGGGGATCAAGGGTCACCTTATTAATAGGATAGACTTGGTGGAAAGGGGCTTATTATTGATAACAAAAGTGGTCATTTCATTCCTATTACAGTGGTTTTAAGAGCTTTAGTGTCGGAAACCTAAGAAATTGACCAAATATTTATTTCTTACTAGTTCACACTGTCACACTTCTTTATAGGATGTAGTAAGGGAAAGTGACGATGCGTGCCAAACTCTTAGTCCAGTTACTGATACCGGTAACAGTGGCTCTATTGCTATAGAATCTTTCCCTTCCCTTCTTTCTCCCCCTTCTTTCACCTCATAAAGCCTTTGGTCTGTTTCCATTTTCCTCATCTTTTTCTTTGATTTGTGAGTTCTCAGTATTAGTTCAGAATTACAGGACTTGGGCTGCTTGGGAGTGACCCGAGTAGGCAGGAGTAAAGTATGAGTAGCTACTGGTATGAGTAGCTTGTTCAGGAGACTCACAGCAAACCACCCTCCCTCATTCCCTTTCCTTCCTTGGGGAGGCATCCCAGGAAAGTGTCTGCAGTTGTGCCACCTCAGTGATAAAAGAGGTGGGAGATAGTGATTTCTTATGGTTATGCTGGTACTTAGATTATATTCTGTCCTTCAAGAGTGACGCAGATAATTTTAAAGAAAAGAGAAAATTCTTTCACCCATGAAGTGTGAAATAGAGTGACAAAGAATATTTGGTTGGAAAGAGAGGCTCTCAATTATTCCCCTTTAGCTTTTTCCTAGAGATTTAAAAATTATTAGAAAGAAGTACTTGTTACCAGTGTACTCTTATAAGAATTTATTTAATAGGGTATTTTAATATAAATTTAAAAATATTCCTTTCCAGTTAACAGAAGATGAAATTGCAACTATTCTTAAATCTACATTGAAAGGACTAGAATATTTGCACTTTATGAGAAAGATCCACAGAGATATAAAAGCTGGAAATATTCTCCTCAATACGGAAGGACATGCAAAATTGGCAGATTTTGGAGTGGCTGGTCAGTTAACTGTAAGTTAAACTTCAATATTTTTGGAAAAGTTTTGACTTATTTGTTCAAGTTTGATTGTCACTGTACTTTGGTAGGTTTTTTGCAGGGTACAGAAAGAATGTGTAACTTCTTTATTCTTGAGAAAGTACCATAATCGAGTCAAATTTGAGTATTTTATTTACATGTTAAGAGATAATGAGTATGAAATTATTCAAGTATTTGTCATCAAAATGGTTAAATATTCTAAAGGGGAAGTGACATTGGTTCATTTCTGTAGCTTTTATCATTGTAGTACTATCTTTAATGACGATCTTTAATGAAGTAGTAGAGATAAGTTACTTGTGGACTCTCGGTTATTTTAAGAATTCCTAAATATGTCATAACTAGTTGAAATGTTAGGAAATATCAATTTCATATATAATCTGTGATATTTAAGAGTTTAATATATGTATTTTTTTGAGAGTTTTTTTTTTTTTTTTTGCTGTGGGGCACATGCGCTTGCCAGAAAGAGAGAGACAAAGACACAGAAGGCTAGAAATCATCCCCCCCAGGGGGAATGGCCATGCTGCAATCTCTTCTCCTCCATTCTCCTTTCAGGATCTTAGGCACACATGCACAGGCACCTGGCCTGAGTTTAAGCCACTGGGTCTGGGACTTGAACCGCAGTCGACTACATGAGAGTCCAGTGACATAGCCATTATGCCAGCTGTTGGTCCCAAGAGTTTAATATATTTATTTTTAAAGAGTATGTGGCATACAGATTTCCTTTGTGGTGGTATTTCTATATTGATGCCTGTGTAACGTTACTGCAGGATACTATGGCAAAACGCAATACTGTGATAGGAACTCCATTTTGGATGGCTCCTGAAGTAATTCAAGAAATAGGTTATAACTGTGTGGCTGACATCTGGTCCCTTGGCATTACTTCTATAGAAATGGCTGAAGGAAAACCTCCTTATGCTGACATACATCCAATGAGGGTAAGAAAATTATGGTTTGCTAAAAATGTTAACTTATAAAATGTTGCAGTTTTGTAATATCAGTATAATTAAAGGTAAAGCAAATTAAATAAGTTCAACTGAATTTAGATTTAGTGGAAAAAACATACCAAAAATATCTGTCAAAGATTAGTTATCATTTATTTCTCTTCTTCTTATATTCTGAATTGTGAGAAAAGAAATGAAAGTTATGTTCATCTGTGCAGTCACTGTGTTCTTTCCCTCAAAATACACCTGTGAAATTTTCCTTTGTTTCCAGTAAAAAAAGGTTGGTAAATCCATTTTGTTCTTCTTCTCAAAGCGGAAGTGATAGAGTTTGAAGAAATCAATTTTCATTTTTCCACTCACTCTATATAATTTCCACCTTTTTGTGTTTTTGTTTATTCCCTTTATCTTTTATTGTCTGTAGATGATATTAAATTCAAATTTAGGGGCTGGCAGGTGGAGTGGTGGTTAAGCCCACTGAACTCCCACGTGGCTGACCACAGTTCAAGTCCTAGACCTGGTGGCTTGCTTTCTTGCTTTCTTTCTCCTTCTTTCTCTCACTGTATCTTGCTCTAGTCAAATTAAAAAATAACAACAATGATAAATAAAATAAAGGAAATGATACTTTAAAAAAAGAAATCCAAATTTATAATATTGCTGTTTACCTGTTAGGGAATTAAGCTTGTTTCTTTAGATAGTGTTTAAAGTAGAATTCCTTCTTTGAACACCATTAAATGCTAATTTTTTTTCCAGGATAATTTTTGAGTTTGAAGTGTATATGTTGGATTACATATGCTTTAGGATTTGTGATGACAAGATTTGGATTTATTAGTATGTGGATCTCGATTCATCATAGATAAGTACATTTATCTTTGTATACTTATTGCCCTCTAGTGGCTGTAGGTACCTTAAGAAGGATATAGGAATGAAGGGAGATGGGTGGTGTGTGTGTGTGTGTGTGTGTATAGAAAAGAGAAGATGATGTCAAGATCATTAGAAAAATTGTGTGAAGTAAATAAATGGTAGGAAAAAGAATGCAGTATTTTAGAGTATTTGAAGAAGAATAAATTGGAAGTATGTCTTATATTACAGTGCTAATGTAGGTTAAATTTCAGTATTATAGATAACAGCATAATATACTGAAAGTATTTAAAAATCTATTTGCCATAGTGAAGTACTTTAAAGAAGGATTTCTTTGAATAATATATTTGTATGTAAAATGTTCCATCTTCTTTGTAAATATAAATTCCTTTTCCAAAGTGAAAAGTAAAAATAAATTGAAAATAACATGAAAAGTAAAGTAAGCATAAAAACAGGAATATGGGGAACCAGCAGTTAGCGTAATGGCTATGTCACTGGACTCCCACATAGTCGAGTGCGGTTCGCGTCCTGGACCTGGTGGCTTAAAACCCACACCGGGCGCGTGTGCGTGAGTGCCCAAGATCCCGAGAGAAGAATGGAGGAGAAGGGATTGCTGCGTGGCCATCCCCTCTGGGGGGTGATTTCTCGCTTTCTGTCTCTCTGTCTCTGTCTGTCTGGTGAGCGCATGCGCCCTATAGTGAAAAACCTCTCAAAAAAAAAAAAAGAAAAAAACAGGAGCATGAATTCTTTTTTCTTCTCTGATTATTAATTATCTTTGGTACTTTTAGTTAGGATATTTTTAGGGTAATCATCAAACTAGGCGTATTTTGAGTTCAAATTAGTAAAGAGAACTATATTATCCAAGGCAACATAGCTCAAATCAGAACAGGGATTTAGCCAAGTGTTGTAATATGTGTCCACTTCCTGTGGTGAATTAATTAATAAATTAATTTATGGGAGATTTTTGCTATAGGGTGTTTGCGCTCACCAGAAAGACAGAGACAGAGAGACAGAAAGTGAGAAATTACCCCCTGGGGAGATGGTCATACCGTAATCCCTTCTCCTCCATTCGCTCGGGATCTTGGGCACCCATGTACATGGGTCTGGCGTGAATTTAAACCACTGAGTCTGGGACTTGAACCACAGTCAACTACATGGGAGTCCAGCAACATAGCCATTATGCTGGTCCTCCTGCGGTGATTTTAAAAATATAACCTGAGAGTTTGAATTCGTACATGTGAAAGAATAAAAATATACTTGAAGTTAGTTTTTCTCTTAAAAATGATGTGTGTGTATATTTTATATATATATATATATGCATATATATATAAACAAAATAAACTGCTAGGTTGCCTTGCTTGTTTTTTTCAACCAATCTATAGCCTACGAAGTTCTCAATTCCCAACTCAGATTTTATTTCTTTATAGAGCCTTCTCTGACATCCACAAGCCAAGTAGATTTCTATTTTTCCTCATAATTTGTTTATAGGTAATTCTTGACTTTATAGTTTTTTGCACAGTTTATCAAGTGTTGCCTTGTGCATTTCTAATTTGAAATTGCTATGTAAATGATACCATCATTATTTAACCTTTTTCATGCTTAACACATTAAAGTATTGAACTTTAAGTATTGGGATACAGTCAATATCATGTAGTAGACCTAAGTTTTCCAAAATTTAAATCTACTTGAAAGCTCAAATTTTATCATTGGCCTCAAATGTTATCTGTTGTTTTTCTTGAAATGACAGGTTCACTTAGTTCTTTACTGGGGGAAAAAATGTCTCTCAAATACCTAAATCTTGAGTAATTCTACTTTTTATGTCAGTTATTTTAATATAAGAGTGTTTTTCCTT